TTCAGGGTTATGACCGTTGAAACCTCCCCATGCTCACGTGATTTACATTTGGATGCTTGACAACTGATTTGCTTTTATGACGGTCGCAGTGCCCTGGGGTCACACGATCCCCTTTTGCGACCTTCTGACAAGCAGTCAATGGGGAAGCCAGATTCACTTAACAACCATGTTGCTAACTGAACTACTGCAGTGATTTACTTAACAACGGTGGTGAGAAAGATAATAAAATGGGGCAAAACAAAGGTCTCACTTAACACATTTGGGCCTCAAACACAACCGAGTTCAAAGAGGACCCAGGACCCCACAGTCCTCTTCCTCCTTTTCCTCTCCACAACCCCAACTGCCTTCTATCACTGATGATGTTACCTAGTTTGGGTCATGAAAGTTCTGCAAAACAAGAACCAAGGAACTCAGAGAACTCAGATAGATGACAAATAAATGACAGATATATATAATAGATAGAAGACAGATGGATGAAGATAATCAGAGGATAGAGAAAGATGATAGGTGAGTGAATGGATAGATACATAGATGTAGTGATAGATAGATAGATAGATAGATAGATAGATAGATAGATAGATAGATAGATAGATAGATGGATGTAGTTATAAGACAGAGATAGATGATATACATGATATAAGATAGAAAATATACATGATAGATATAAGATAGATATAGAGGTAGTTATTAGATATGGATAGATATAGATAGAGGTAGTTGATATAGATAGATAGATATTAAGATAGACATGGAGATGGAGAGAGAGAGAGAGAAAGATCAACATGGATAGACAGAAAAATGATAGGCAATAGATAAAACTTTTGCAAATGTCTTTTCTGCAAAATCTTTCCAAACCTGCATGCTGGGAAACCCAATGCAGCCCACCCTCCTTCATGCAGCCTCTCCTGCTACCCCAGGAAAACCCACCCACCCACCTAGCCCCTTTGGCCACCTGTCAAGGGTGGCTCCGTGCTCTCTGCCCATGCTCAGGAGCCCTCTCGCCTCCCCTTCTTGCAGCAGAATGCAAAAGGGTCCTGGAGCGATGGGAGAGTGGGAGGGAGGGGGGCGAGTCCTCTGCACGTGCGGAGCATCGCAAGACCCAAGGGGGCTCCTGAGCACGTGCAGAGCGCACCCTGGGCTCCATTGCAGCCCCGCGGAGGAAGTGCATTATACGCCCTCACCGCATATAACCCGGGTCCGTGGTGATGGTGTCCCCGGGGGCCACTAAATCCCGGTCCCCGCCGCTGCTCCAGGGCAGGTTGGACGGTAAACGCTTCCGCGCTGCGGGGAGCCTGAACTCCACTCCCGCCATCTTGGTTGAAGGCACACCGGACGGCCGCCGCGCAGGCGCAGAACCATCGCGCGGCCTCTGCGGCCGCCATGTCTACTCCGGGCGGGTTCTAGAGGAAAGGGTTGCGAGCGCAGAATAGACAGCTCCGGCTTCCATTGGCGGCGCTGGGAAAAGGAGGGGGGGTCGCTGCCTTCAGCAGGGCCCCCCCTTTTGCAAAAAAGAGAAAAGCCATGGGCTTCTCGCCATGGGCAGCTTGGATTAGGGTCAGGGGCGCACTGAATCCCCACCTCACTCCCAGTTTGGACAGCCTGATTGCGTCCAAGACCGGACAGTCACTTGTCTGAAATGGTATTTATAGGATTTCCTGCTTGAGCAGTCCAGCAGTGGCTGGACTAGAAGACCTCCAAGGTCTATCCAACTATGTTGACATGGAATTATTTTCTGTCCAGGAGTCTGACAGGTAGAAATGGTTTTTCAGCCTGTTGGTGTGGCTGGCTGTGCTTCTCTATCCTCTACCTGATGATAGGAGAGTGAAGAAGGGCTGACCGGGATGGGAGTCGTCCCTGAGGATTTTCAAACTCTTCTAAGGCAGTGAGTCCTAGCAAGATCCTCTCTAGCGGTATCAGGGAACAGCCCACAATGTTCTGTGCTGTGCTCATCACCCTCGGTTGTGCCTTTCTATCCGCAGCTGTCTCTGTTGGGCCTGTCTGCCCACCTGGGTTGTGTTGGTTTTCCAGGTAAGCTCTTCGCTGAGGTCGATTCCCAAGAAGGAAACTCTCTCCAGCTCCCCTCGATGTAAAGTGGGACGGGTTTTCTCTCTTCTTCCGGAAGTCTTCCTTCGAAAGTGCCCCTGAGCATGGGCAGAGTGAAGGGCTGGGCGACCCGTCCCATCTGCCAATTTGCTAGAGATGCCCTGCGTTTGCACGGATGCTTGAGAACCAGAAACCTAACTTTTATTTCACTTTTCATTAGACTGTTCCTCTTGGGGGTTAACAGAGCCCAGTCCCCCTTGAGGTCCTGCTCTGGGTCTATTTGAAAAGCGGTGCTCTGTCACCCTCTAGTGCCCATTGAGAGGATATGCTTTATTTCCTCAGATCTACTGTTAAATTTATTTAAGCACATGAGTGAATCAGTTGAGTTTTGCCCCGTTTTATGACCTTTCTTGCCACAGTTCTTAAGTGAATCACGCCAGTTGTTAAGTTAGCAACACAGTTGTTAAGTGAACGTGGCTTGTCAGAAGTTTGCAAAAGGGGATCATGTAATGCAGCAACCGTCATAAATGTGAACCAGCTGCCAAGCATCTCAGTTTTGATCACATGATCATGGAGGTTGTAAGTGTGGAAAACGGTCATAAGTTACTTTTTTCATTGCCTTTATAACTTTGGATCTCATTAAACAAATGGTTGTAAGTGTACTTTCCTTCCTTTGGAAGAGTCCACCGAAGACAATATACAGTGTGTGTGTGTGTGTGTGTGTGTGTGTGTGTGTGTGTGCGCGCTAAATATATACTTTTGTACATTGGCCAATTTGAATTTCATAGATTTATAGATTCATAGAATCACAGAATTGGAAGATTTTGTGGAAGGAAACCAATTGTGACAGGGTTCACACACTGAACATGCTGGCTGAGGAATTCTGGGAACTGAAGTCCACGCATGCTATCTGGGGAATTCTGGGAGTTAAAGTTGGTGAGGTTGAGAAACAATCAGAAAATTGTAAAATTGATCTGGGAAAGGAGTGTCAGCTTTTCTTTAAAAAAATCAAAGAAAAATCAGCCCAGGCCAGCAAAATGGAACAAAGAGGACTAGAAACTTGAAATCCCCAGTTGCCTTGTTCCCAGAACGCAGCAGTCATAAACTATCTGTCCTAAAAAAAGCTTTTCATTCCAAGATGTCATATTTTGTTCATGTTTTTATTATGATTCTTTATTTAGAATACAAGAGTATGAGAGATACAAAGATATATTTATATATATATTTATGTATTTACAGCTGTGTACATCATACAATTATTACATAATTGATATTAAAGTGTTGGGGTGGGTTTTGTTTTGTTTTGTAAATAGGCGTTTTACATTATTTTATCTACAAGGTTAAAGTGACCATTGTGTATGACAACTCAAGACATCTTATTGTTATCAGGACAGATTTTCCGAAGCAGCAAGGGACTTTTGCATTTCTTAAAAATGCCTATTTTACAAAAAAAAAAAAAAAAGTCCATTCCTGAATCCCATTTAGGTCCGTGATGGGAATTAGGGAAACTGTTTCTTCTGCATGTCGAAGGTTGAAGTAGGTACCAAGCATCTGCAAAACTTTGATTTGACAAAAGACAGAAATTGCACATTTTTTTTTTTCCTGGGGAGAAGCTCTAGAAAGTTGCAATCCCACTATACAAAACTGAGTAGAACCCTTTCCTAAAACAATGTCTTTGTTTTTATTTCAAGTCCTTTTTTCCCCCTCCAAGTTTTAAACATGAATGGGCAACTGTTTTCTCTCCAACAGACAAACTTACACTAGGAGAAATGCAGAAACGTGTATGCAACCAGTTAAAATTATATATATAATACTCCGAGAAGCAATAATATATAATACTCCGAAGCGCCTGGGATTGCCATTACACGATCAGGCGATGGACATAAGTGTGAGGACTGGTCATAAGTCACTTTATTCAGTGCTACTGTAACTTTGAATGGTCGCTAAATGAGCGTTCATATGTCGAGGATTACCTTAGTCCCACGTTGGGAATGGGAGAAGGGAAAGACTCCCCCTTGTGGATGAAATTGGAATTGAGCAGCGATGGGAGAACTGCCCAACATTCAGAATTTGCCCCAAATTAATTGTTTCTTTCTGGGAAATGATCTCTGGACTCAGGCAAGGAGTATAATCCCTGTGATATATTCTAGATTGCTTCTCCATTGGCGTAGGGAGTTCTTCCTTCCTTCCTTCCTTTCTTTCTTTCTTTCTTTTTTTCTTCCTTCCTTCCTTCTCTTATTTATTAAATTTCTATGCTCCCATTTCCTCTACAAAATGATTCCGGGCAGCTTACCAATTCTTTCTTTCTTTCTTTCTTTCTTTCTTTCTTTCTTTCTTTCTTTC